AAAGGAAATGGAAATGCGCAGGCTAAAAGCATAAAAAATGCCTATATAAAAATAGGTCTTAATCTAGGCGATAACTTATTCTCTTCAGAATAATGAACTATGGAGCGATCGGAGTTGTTACTGGCCATGAAATAACGCATGGATTTGATGATGCCGGTACATAGCGTTGTCGAGAAATATCTTTGATTATCAAAAGATAAAGTTTATTAACAGGGGCGTCTTATGATGAACTTGGGAACAAGAATAATTGGTGGGATAAGGACACTTACAGAAATTTTGAATGGAAAAAAGAGTGTTTCGATGAACAATATGGAAGCATCGCCGTAGCGGATCTGCATGTGATGGTGAGTCCACACATTGTACTTCAACAGAATTCGTCCATCTTTTGCTATTTTTTCTTTGATAACCTTAGATTGATGGAAAAAGAACTGAAAGCGAAAACATTGCTGATAATGGTGGAATGCGGGCAGCTATAAGGGTTTGTAGTACTCCTAAACAAGTTCATGATTAATGCAAGATCATTTAGGCAGCTGATCGCTTGGCAGATCGTTCCTCCGAACAATTCGCTATAGAAGGATTGGAAAAATTCACGCAAATGCAGTACTTTTTCATGAACTATGCGTTTGTATGTATATTTAGAATTAAATTAATTGCCAGGTGATGGAAGGAGATCAATATTATAGATTTGGTGTGGAAGCACTCGTCGTGCCACTCTTTTGAATAAGCTTGCTACAGATGTTCACCCACCGGACATGTACCGTGTGAATGTTGTGTTGTCCAATCAGCCAGAATTTGCCAAAGCATTCAATTGTCCAAAAGGATCGCCAATGCATCCCGAAAATACATGCACCCTCTGGTGATAATAATAATTTATTAAAATATTGCATAATTAATGAGTTGTAAGATTTTGGTCTTTGAAATTCTTCTACTCTCATTGTCAATATATATCTATAGCAGGAAATTGCTCCGTTGTCGTTTATGTAATAAATTTGATTTCGAAAAAAATCCTTTTGATTTACACGTCTACTACTAGTTGGTTGTCATCGCCGTTTTTCCCATGGGTCTTCCTGTCGTTTTCGTCCGCGTTTCGTGCTAATAATATGGTCTAAACCTATTCATAAAAGGATGACCCAATGTTTTCGTTTCCTTTTTTTCATACAACTCCCTGGTTAAATTATAGTAATGGGAATCGTTGCTTAAAAGTAAACTATGTTTGATGCTATAAGCTTCTGCTGTCTTACAAAAATATTTATTTGATGGTCTTCAGACCACAAACCCGTTTGTGTAATATTTTAATGATTCCTCTGAAAATTTAACGAATATTCTGAGCACATTCGATAGCAAGTGTTGAATAGAGCAAAATATGGGCTTGTCATCGGAGAGTCTCATTTCCTCTAAGTTTAGAGCTTTTGCAAAATTTCCGTTCTTCTCTCC